CGACCATCAAAGCTTGAATGATCATAAAATAACATATAATAACTAACCATACTTGATTTACTCGAACAAATATGATTGTATTGAAAGATAACATGATAGGGCATGAACTAGCCCCGAAAGCATACATTACCGACTTCCATAGGCCAAATCAAGATATAACCACAACTTATCTCGACCTATCTTTTTATACTGAATACATGAAGACATAACATGATGAAATAAGCATGAATTGCACAGGAGTTGCCGGATAAAACATGAACTTACTCGGTCATAACCTAAATTGGCTTAAACCGAGCATAAATCGCTAATTTCATGCATTTCTTGTCATGAGCTGATTAAACTGACTTTAACCTGCCCTAATTAACATGAGGGGATGCTGATTATGAGGTTAACTTCACAATTACTCGGTGTTATTCATATAAAACCGAACGTCACTCGGTCATGACTTATATGGCCAAAACCGAATTCTTTATGACATTTTCTTGTATTTCCCGACATGAGCTTACTAAACTGATTTGAACATGATACTACTACCATGAAAAGAGGCTGAAAATGAAGTTACCTCCTCATGTGCTCGAAGAAATTCATAAGGTATGCTTGATTACTTGACTCCGAGCTTGTATGTGCTTATGTGTGTGTTAATGAGTAAATTCTTGGCTTAATTACCACTAAACTTATGCTGAACCTGTAGTGTGTGTAAAGTTTTACACTTAGGCTGAAAATGTTCATTTATAACACGATGAAACTTGAAGGGAATTGGGAGAAAAGCTCGGCCAATGGCCTTGCGCCATTTGCCCCGCTCTAAGGCGAGATGGGTGGCCTCAACGGGCTGATCCATCACTTGCTCTTGCTTAGTCACGGCTTGAACGTCTCCCTGCCTTCCAAGTGTCCTAGCCTTGCTGACTTGCACGTGAAGTTTCATGAGAAATTCGATCCTTAGGCCATTAGGCGCTAAGCGTACTTAAGCGCGCTAAGGGCGTGCTAATGGTGCGTACCATTGGCTTAGTGAATGCTCGTGTCTAATCAAACTACTTAGTACCCGATTAGCACTAAACATGATTACCTTAATTAATCTTCATTAATGTTAATTAATCTTAATTAACATTAAACTAATCATGATTATCTTAAACTAATCTTGATTAATTAGCTTA